TAAAAAGTGACAAAGCATTCAAGAGATCTTGATCACGCTTTTGTAGTGCTACACTTAAATCATTTATAAATTCTAAAATCTCAACCATTATATATAACATGAAGATAAAATCAAAAGACTGAAGAACATCTAACAAAAGCATAGTTTCACCATATTTTTCAAATGACGTATCCTTCCCGACTTCTTCAAGTACTCCAATAATGACACCGTTCAAAGTCATTAAACTAGTGAGAGTCATAAAGTGAGAACCCCAACGAGTATCACCCGCTCTAGCAATAGATGATTCTTGATTTAATCCACTACCAATCTCTATTTGGCCCTCTTCAATCAATTTAGCTAACTGAGTTACTTGTTTGTCTCGAAGAAATTTATGTCTCTTGTTAGAAGATCGTATGAAACTAACAAGAATATTGACCTTACCGAAAAAACCACTAACATATTTGTAAGTCTTAGCACATGCAACAAGTGCCAATTGAAGTTGATGGGCAAAACAATGCACATAATAAGCAGATTGATTCTCATTTTGTATTAAAGTTCTCAAACTACCAAATTTACCTTGCATATTGTTGAATCCATCATATCTTTTCCCTCTAATGCTAGATAAACTCAAGCCATTAATAGACAACAACTTTTCAAGTGCCTCCTTAAGTGACTTAGCACTTGTTTCTTTAACACTTACAATGCCAAGAAACCCTTCTTTTACCAAACCTTCACTATTAATACAGCGAACAACAACAACCATTTGTTCTTTACCAACAACATCACCAGATTCATCAATCAAAACACAAAACACATCATTCGCAATATCACATACAATTTATTGAGTTATTTCACATGCACAAGCAGCAGCAAGATCCTTTTGAATCTTAGAGGCAATCACAAGGTTATTTCTTGGAGCACAATATATTACACTAGCAATCTTTGGGTTAATTTCCTTTAGAGTGTCCACCAACTCAAGAAATGACCCTTTAAATAAAGAGTTAATGGACTCGTCACTCCCTTTAAATGGCATACAACACCTCAAAAGAAACTTAGTAGCTATAAGAGATGTGTTTACACGAACACGATATTCAGCATTCATTTACTTAGTTTGATTGACAAACACAACCTTAATACTTTTGTTTGGGTTCATGAGAGCGTAACTCATATGCACACAATCAACATGACTATTAGAAGAAGTGGCATAATTAGCCAATCTTTGAGCATTCTTCCAATCACCAAAACCTTCTCCCACAAAGTGATATCCCCCATATTTAGAGACATTTTTAAACAAAAAACATGGCAAACAAAATGCTAGGTCTTTAGGTTCACTATGATTAATCCAGTCATATAAATCAAACTAATTTTTGCAAAATCGATGCCTTTGCTTATCATGGACAGTCCAAGGGTAAACAAAATTCTGAGGAGGTTGATGACGATCTATTTTTAAATAAGCTTTCCTTACCTCATTTTGGATGTCAGGATGATAGCTTGAAATTGGAGGCCTAATTCATGGATCAGTTTCCAACAATTCATAATCAACAAGTTTAATACCTTCACTTGGATGTTGAGTTTCTGATGTTTCTAGATTTGCCGAAGAAGTAGATTTGTCTCTAGAAAACGCAAGAAACAATTTCTTCATCCTATAAAGAGAATAATGAAATAACTTAAAATAGTTATTCAAACTATAAAAAAAAACAGGAAAACTAATTGATTATAAAGAAAATCATTTATGAGAAATTGAGAAAATTGATTTTTTCAACAAATTGGGATTTTAGGGTTCATCTCAAAAAGAGAAAAGAATAAGTTGAAATTGAAATACCGACTTTACCTTTGATTTTTAATCATCAATAAATAATTGCAACCAAGCCAAATGAAAAAATTAGAAAAAGAAAATAAAAAATCGACAAATATGAGAGGAAGAAACAAGGATGAGATTGTGAGATTTGAGAGAAAGAACAAAATAAGTTATTGTGAAAGAGAGAAAAGTAAAGAAATTAGTTACTATGAGAGAGAGAGAGAGAGAGAGAAAAATGAGTTAATAATATTTATTTATTTTTATTAATTATTATGTGTTTATATATAGTATAAATAAATTAATTATTTTAATAATAATTTTTAATTTATATAATATAAAAAAAATTATTAAAAAAACTGGTGTGGCTTCTACTAAGTTCGCCCATGCATGAGTCACTATTGTTATAACAATGTTAAGTTTTTGTTATGTGCAAATATTTTAATTTTGAATTGAATTTAAGGAACTTCAGTTTGATTTCACTAAAGAGTTTAGTAGGACCAGTTGAAAATATGCATGATTTAAAGATCACATTGCATGATATTTTCATGCCACTTATTCATATCGATTTATGTCAAGTACATTGATGTGGTGGTCGTCGGGGTTCCGTCATGTTATACGCCAGTGACAACAGTCATAGAGGTCCCTATTGATGTACGAGGTAGACCAGATTGTAAAGTTGAAATCTAAATATAAATAGCATTCAAATCTGCGTCTAAAGAACTACGACATCATTATTAAAGATATATTGCCCAAATAAGAGTTTGTTAGAATTTATATATATATATATATATATATATATATATATATATATATATATATATATATATATATATATATATATATATATATATATATATATATATATATATATATATATATATATATATATATATATATATATATATATATATATATATATATATATATATATATATATATATATATATATATATATATATATATATATATATATATATATATATATATATATATATATATATATATATATATATATATATATAACCACCAACAAAAATATTTTCAATAAATTCAAGTATTCTTAAAATTAACTTGTAGATCTTTTGATTTTATACATGTTTGTATAATTATCTATTTTTTACATTGAATTATATGTTATACTTTGATGAGCATTTATATTCAATTGACTGGAGTCAATTTAATTCTAACACCATCTCCCTGATATCTATTATATCTTTAAACTACTTAGCACTTCAAAATAAGATCACTAATCAAGGTTAAATTGCCAAACACAATTTATTATTGTAACTTAATTTTGTTAATTAGTAAATTCTCCTCTATGATACAAAACACACTGAAAGCTTCTATTCAAGCTCTATTCAAATATAGAAATGGAATGTACAAAGCACTAGCGAGATAAACATACAAAGTCTAACAAGTTCGAATTTTTGGAAATATAATTTCATACTAATAAAGAATGAAGATGACTATTGTGGATAAATAGTCATCAATTATGAGTCTTTGTTCTTTCAATTTTGAACCTTCATTCTTCTAATCTAAGGGATTCTAGGTTTCATTTGCTTCATTTGTGCCCATAGTAGGAGTGTTTATTGGTTCAGATAAATTTGAAGCAAATGGGAATCTAAAACAAACTACGGTGTTTGGGTTGGCCATTTTATTAGTTTATGCAAAAATCGAATAAAATCAATAAAATCTGATGTTAATTGGTCCAGACAATAAATTACTAAAATTCTATCTCCGTTTATCCGAACCAACCATAATTCATTCATATACTTTATATTATCATTATTATAAAAATTAGTATAAGATACTCAACTTCAACAATAAAAAATAAAATACCATTTATGACATTCACAACCTATATGAAAAAATAAAAAGATTAGAGATTTTATTTTATTATGGAAAAATAGTAACGTAATATAAATTTTTTTTAAAAGTATTTTTAAACATATATAGTTCTAATATATTCCATCAATTCAAACTCAAATTAATATATTATTTTTTTGTTTGGTTAATTTAAATTTAACAAAAAAAAAATATAAATCTAATTCAAAACAATCTATATATTTTTAATCAAATATAAATGTTTAAGTTAAAAAAAAAAAATATCATGTCAGATTAAAATTATTTCAACTTTTCATGATGATTTTCTAATGAGTGTTTTTTCTTTGACTAACTAATTTGTCATAATTATATAATGATATCTTACTTTTAATAAAGGAAAAATCAATACTGCTAGTTCTACTTAGTAGGCGTTGTATAATTTCCTTAACGATGATATATGTTTAGTTATTCATATTTTGTGATCATATGAGTACTAGTATAATAAAGTGTGTTTAAACTTTAATCTAAACCTAGTTCTAGTGCTATTTAATTATACGTACATTTAACCTTTACCTTTTCAAACTAAAAATTAAAGTGAGAAAGTGGCTTCTCAAGTCACATCCCATGTGGAGTTAAATAATATTATTAATTACGACTTTGGAATTTCAATGGCAAAAAAGCATAAATAATTAAAATCGTACCACTCATACTACTTTTTCCCTTATTTTCTTGGGGACCTTAGAAAACGAGCTAAGTCTTTTTGTATTCTTTCGCCGTATCCGAATATAAGGAATTTCAAAAAAGAGTGTAAGACAGCTTTTGCATTTTCTCAATCACCTTTCTTTCACTCAACTCTAAATTTTAAAAAATTATAAAAAAAATAAAAAACCATCCCAATCCTTTTCAAACTCATTTGATCAAATTCAAATCAAAGAAAAAAAAAGTCTTTCCTATTTTTCATTCAACCAAGAAAAAAGCTGGCATTTTCCAAAAACAATACCAGTTCACTTTTATAGGTCTTTTCACAATTTTATCTCCACATTTGTTATTATAGTTTTTTGTCAGCTTATCCATACTTGGAATACAACTACAAAAAAAATTAAGATAAAAAAAAACTGTGTCATTTAGCAGCAATATTAATATTAATTTTTTTAATGTATAATAATTAAAATCGCAATAGCCTTTACGCGGAACGTGAAACAAAAAATCAAATATAAGTCCAAGAAGTAAAATGAGTAGTACTGAGTAGCAAATGGAATATCATACATTGGAATTAAGTTAGAAAAACTAAACTAAAGTAAACAAAAACATAATAAAAAACAAGAGATTAAAAAAAACAAATAATAATAATAAGATAATTAATTATTCTTACTATTTTTTTTCTCATTTTTTTTATATCTCAAAGCGAGTGAGAGAAAAGTGCTTCCCAAATCTCAGTGTAAACTTCAACAATGATCTTGTGATGATGATACGAATTCAGCGACAGAAAGCAGTGTAAAAGATTCTCCAAATCAGTCGGTGAAAATATTTGTTTCTCAACGATCATCTCCACCATGGAAGTTCTAAAGTCACTGTACGGATCACTAGAGCGTTTCACCACTGCGAAGGTGTCTTTGACTTTCCCGTTCAACGGAAGTACACCCATGTCGGAACTCCGGTCGGTTCTCCGGCGAGAGGTTTTTCTGCGGCGAGACTTGGAGGAGTCGGAAGAGAGAGACTTGGAGGAGAAGAGTGTGTCGGTTTCGTCGTCTTCGTCGGTGCTGTACCACCAGTAGCTGTCAAAGTTTGTGTCTTTGGCGCATGAATTGAATGGGAAGGTTCGGTTTTTCTTCTGGGTATGGGTTTTCTTCTTGTTCTTGATTCTCTTTTTCTTCTTTTTCTTTTTGGTTTTGTTCGTGACGGTTTTTGATGAAGCGTTGGTTTTTTCGTAGAAACCGAGGTTGTTGCGTTCATCGTCGAATATAGTGTTTCGTGAAACGGGTGGTGGAGATGATTTTATGTGGATGTTGTTATTGCTATTTGCACCGCAGAGAAATGGTGATGATGAACAAGTGGAGATTTTGCGACGTGGGAGAGAATGAGAATGAGAATGAGGGAGGTTAAACGACATGTCGTCGATGGTTTTTGGAGAGGGTTTGGGTTTGGAAATGGGGTGAAAGGGTAGTAAAGTTTTGGAGGGGAGGGGTGCAAAGAGTGGTTTTTCCATAACATCTGATACATGTTGTCGGGTTTTGCAGGAGCCGAATGAGGATCGGAACATGCGAGAGATTCGCATTTTCAGACGGTTTTGGTTTTCCATGAGAGAGAGGTTTGATTTGAAGAGTGAAGAAAATGGAGAGGGAGATATAAATAAATGCATGAAAAACGGAAAGTGGAAGGGTTATTTAATAATAATAATAATAATAATAAATAATTAGTAAGTAATTTGAAAATGAAAATGAAAAGATAAAGTTTAATAATTAATGGAATTTTAAATTTTCTTGTCTTTTTGTTGGTTCTGAAAAGTGCAGTGAATGAATCAATGAGAGAAATTCGATTTTGTAAACAGTGGAAATTGACCTTGTTCTGTCTTTAATCGTGCGTGCCCACCGCATTGGTTTTTTTTTTTATCTCTTTTTACATTTCACCTAGCCTACAAAAGAGTGTTAAGAAAGATGAGAAATTTTTTGTTAAAAATATAAAAGCGATAAAAGATAAAAATAGTATAAGAGTTTTTAAGGCTTTGTATTTAAAGCACCAAAAAATGGTAGGAGTATATTCGATCTATAGATTACAGACTCTACTTAGTACTACTAGAAAGCAACGGATATCTGTTTTTATAGTGGATAGCTTTATAATTAATCACTTTTAAAATAATTGATTTAGTAGTTTATGATTAATAAGTTAGTAGGTTGAAAGTGTAGTGTTTTGTAAAATTCATAGTTAAATTAGTTTATAAATATAAAATAAATATCTTTCTAAAAGTTTATTTTTTCTGAGTTTTGTAATCATTTAATCATATTCGAAGCATAACAATCATGACCAATATAAGTTATTAATTTTTGGTCTAGCTTCAAAACTATTGGGTGTATGAGTGAAGCTTTGAAAAGCTTAAAACGTCCTGAATAAGCACCAACATAAGAGCATGGGCAAGACTTACTCTACAAGCACCATTCTCATTTGTCCACATCTTCATTGTACTAAGCTAATACATTGCATTTTGAATTTTTGGTGCATAATTTAAACTAAACAAGTTTGTACTTATTAGTTAAGTTTGGATCTAATTAAGTATTTTTGAAATTGATTACTATTAGTAAAGTAATTGACGAATTGTACTCATTGGTTAAGTACTAAAAACAAATTAAGATTGTAATGTTAATGTGATTTGTAGGGGACCAAACGAGGATCAAGACTCTAATTGGACTAGTTCAAGCGCTTAATCATGTTTGAAATTCAAATAAAATACTAACATTAGCATAACCTTTTGAACAAGAGCTTAAGAATCTTAACCTAGACTTGATTGTTATGCGTAGTCCCGTGATAGATATGGACAATTGGTAGTAGGACTATTATAGGAAAGATTTACTTTGAAATAAAACAACACTAGAGTTAATTCATCCTCCTTTTCATTTTTAATTCTTGATGTGAGGGAAATGGGTTCATCTCAAAAACATGCATGACCGATATCTAATCTAATAATGACCAATCCAATCTAGTTCAACATTTGATTTAAAAGTAAATTAGTTACATGCTCACATCTACTATATAATTAAGAAAATAGACTAATACCACCTTTTCTAAATTACTCTCATTGGAAAAAAAAAATTTACACTTCACAAAAGACTAATCGATATTTAGTAAATGGACAAATCAATTCACAGTTCAAGGTTTTTCAACAATGACACGCGACGTTGCTTTAAGATTTCCATTTTTTCTCGTTTCCTTTTTTCCTCTCACTTTTCTCAAACCTTCCCATTCTCTCTCCCGTTATCTCTCTTATCTTGTCTATTTTCTTAAACTCTAACACTGTTGCCGCCTCTTTCTCCGACCTATCTACGGAGACCACTATCTCTAATGAAAAAAGCAAAGTCATATTTGTACACCTCTTCTCATGGCCTTCCTAATGAACTAGTTGGAGTTTTGTTTCGACGCCGTCGACCACTGTTTTTCCTTCTCCGATCGTCACAACTCGAAATAGAAAAAGGAAAACTTTTTCTTGCTCTTCTGCAAGGAATCGTCATCAATTTCTTTTTTATTCTCTACTCTGTTCTTTTAATAAAAGTTTAGATTTTGTTGAAAACATATATTTTGTTGTGTTCTTTGATTATTTCATTTATTTGTTTATTTAATATGTAGATCTGATTATGGCTAGATGAATGATATGACCGAGATGGTGGTCATTCAAATATGAGAGAACATGTTTGTAAAATGGAAGGTATCTCCTTTGATTTACTGACTTTTTATTGCTTCGAGCCTTTATGTTGATTTACTACTCTTTGTTTTTTTTTTCACTTTTTTTCATGTATTCTTTTTCTAAACTCAAATGTTCAACTTTCCATATAGAGGGCTGCAGGTGGGAAAGAGATAAGTGGGGGAGGAGCTCCTGCTCCTCTAAAATGTTATAGGTATGGAGAGTTGGGTCATCGTGTTGCTGAGTGTAAGAGTGCATGTGAGAAGTGTTTCAAGTGTGGGAAAAAAGGACACCATATTGCTGAGTGCAAGTGCAATGTTAGAAGTTGTGTGAACTTGCACATATTAGTACCCAGTGTCGGAAACCGAGGAAGACGCAAGTTGTCACACAAGCTAGTGGTAGAGTGTTTTCTCTAAGTGGTATGGATGTCTCAAGATCAAATAATTTGATTCGACATACATATTTCATTAATGGTGTTTCTCTTATTGCTATGATTGGTATTGGTGCGACACATTTGTTTAAATCTCTTGATTGTGTTAACAAGTTGAATCTTGAAGTGTACTATATGATTGGAAGTATGGTCATTAATACTCTATCTAATGGTTCAATGACTACTTCATTGGGGTGTTTGAATCGTCCCTTGACTATTTATGATAAAGACTTTGGAGTTGACTTGATATGTTTGCCTTTGAGTTAATTCGATGTGATTTTGGGGATGAACTGGCTAGAGTTCAATCGTGTTTATATAAATTGTTTTTACAAGAAATACATGCTCTTCTTAACTTTCTATCATTTTTTACAAACAACTTGTATGATTTCACAACCTTACTTCTTTTCAGAAATTCGTCAAACTTATTTATTGTGACTCCTATGTTGTCATCATCATCTTAACTCTCATATTGAGATTATTCTTCTTGATAACTATCATAATCTTTGGCTTTAGTCTTTAATATAATTGGTCTAACATTCTTTTTAAGTTCTTCATTTTGTTTCCATTGGCCATGTTATAACTCATGTTCATATTGCTTTCCAAATAATGTTTCAAATGTCATCTTTGATAGACTTTTGTTTTCTGAAATGGTTGTCACCTTTGGTTGCCATGTCATTGTTAGTGATCTAAGAAAATTTAAATTTAAATCATTGTTATTAAAGACTTTTCCAAGAGTAGTTAAATGATTTTTAGGTGGGTGAATCTTTTTTGTAAATCTAGAACTTTCTCTCCTAATAACATTCTAAACATTTTGTACTCTTGGAAAAGGTGTTTAATCTAGATCTTTTTATTTTTTCCTTTCCTTCATTTGTTTTTCTAAGGTCTCCCATATTTCTTTAGCAGGTTTACAATTTTATGCTCTAAAGAACTCATTCATTCCTAAGGTCAGATCTAGAATATTCTTGGTCTTTTTGTCAAACTCAACTTTCTTTTTATCATCATCATCATTCCATGCATCTTTAGGCTTGGGTTATTCTACACCACCAACATTAGTACTAGGTATGAAGGGACTTTCTTCAACTATATTTCAAATTTCTACACCATGAGACTAAATTTATATTCGCATTCATATTTTCTAAAACCATAACATTCATCGGTGAAACATGATGGTTTATTAATACCCGAACCTTCTCCTAAGAAGTGTTTGGAGGAAGCCATATACACCATATCTAGGAGCAATTTACCCAACTCTTCCTCTGATGTAAACCATAAATACTAGATATCAACCTGAAGGTTGAGAGGGGGAGAGAGAGAGGGAGGGGGGGGGGGGTGAATTAGATTTGCCAAAATTTTCAAGTTTTAAATACTTATTTTTGAAAACTTGTTCTAATGGAAGCGAGTTTGTGAAGAGATAATTAATTCATAAATAATAAAGATTAAAGTGCAAGAACATAAGATGCAGGATGTAAAAGTTAAAGGAAGATATAATGACACTCAATATTTATCATATTTCCCCTTTTTCATATAAGGGAACATCTAGTCCCTCTATCTGATAAGAGGATTTTCCAATATCTATCAAGAAATTATGTTACAAGCCTCACACTAAGACTCTTCTCAAAAAAATTCTTAATACTCACTCAAGAAAGCACATTGCTTCCTTAGTTACACAACAATAAACCAAACACTATGGTGGACTCTGAATCACCTTAACTTAAATGGTATTTTTCACAATCACCAAACACTATGATGATCCTCACCAAACCTTATGGTGAATTGAGAATCACATTAATTCTGAAGAGATGAAGAACTTTATGTAAGTTGTAGAATCTTTAAATCCAAACTAGAATTAGAAACTTCTTATAAATATTACTTTTCGTATTAATATCAATTAATGCTCAGTAATTTATGGTTTTCCAAAAGTTTAATCAAAGTTTTAAAACTTGTAAATATGAAAACCACTTGAAAATGATATTTTGATTCTATAATTTTGTTTGAAAGTTCTTAATAAATTTCAAAAATGTAAACCCATATTTATATGTTCATAGAAGATATTATTAAACAATATACCACTTTGAAAAGGTATTGTGAATTATTACAGTGCTTAAACATAGCACTGGTTTAAGAAAAAAGTGTACCAATAGGATGTATTCTATTACATAAATGTGGTAATCGATTACATGATGTTTTTGTTCAAAATTAAAATTTGATGACATGTTGTGAAATTCTGGTATGCAGATCTCAGATGTCCTAAGAGATGTTAAGAACATTGATCTCTGCTAAAACAGAACAAGGACAAAACATGACCATTTTAAATCCCTTTAAAAATTAACAGTGTCATGACATCTGTTGTAACATTTGCAGACTGACATAACTATTTATCTAACCATTTAAATTGTGCAGAATTATAAATGTTGAAAGATAAATAACACAATGAATTGTTAACCCAGTTTGGTGCAACATCACCTACATATGGGGGCTA